TCTAGCGGAAAGTCCGCGAGAATGCGGCCACTGCGCCGCAACTAATCTATAAGAAGACCGCGATAGTTCTCCGAGCATTTGTCTGAAAATTGGTGAACATTCTTCCAAAGTTCTGCAAGCGGGCCGCAACAAATCAGCGAACTATTTCTCAGGTGCCCGCTTGCTCAAAATTCGCATGGCCGCCTGCCTCGGCGATTATCTGAGTGGTCGAAGTGGCCTTTCAAAATGAGTCTTATATATGTTGAAGAGATTCAAACGCTGATTCCAAATCTTTTCTCATTATCTGCCGAGCGCCTCTGTATGCCGAGTTATGAGAATTTTCTTGGTGCGAAAAACGAACGCATAATCGAGGTGAAGTCAACTTTTACTGTCTCTTCAGCGCTTAAATAGAACAGTGCTAAGTATGAGTGTTTTGCACAGAAGGTATTTTTCAAACGGAGTGCTCTGATAATCATCATCGGACCATTTGAGCAATTCTGGAGAATTTTGTGCTTATTATGCATTCAAAATTTCAACTCAAAAAACGCTCATAACTCGACGCTAAAAGGCGCTCGGCGAATAACGAAGACAGATATGGAATCAGCGTTCGATACTCTTTACAGTCGTATCAGTCTCATGTGAAAAGGCCACTTCGACCAAACGGATCTCCCTTGTGAGGCAAAATATGGCTTTCAATGGCCTAAAATCCTCATCAAAGTTCTCAATGTATTTCTACAGTAACGAGGAGCGCTTGGTGATTCGCTTCATATTGTAAATCTATGTTGAAGCCACCTTTACATGAAGTCTGTGGAGCAGTTCAGGTACCATTTTGTGGAGGTAGCTACAACTTAGATTCACCTGTAGAGCAGATTACCGTTTCTTTATTAGTGTGGATTACGGTAGAACTTTGAAGAGGGTTTTGAGCCGTTGAGGCCACATCTTTATTCAGAAAGGAAGCAAAACGAGCTAAAAAATGAGTTGTTGATTTTAAATATTGAGTTTGCATCTTGTCATGACGCCGTTAAAAAGTTATGCCAGTTAAGCTAGTAGCCAGTTTCTTAATTTTTCTAAGTGGTTACACCGGAAAGCTTCACACTCTTGTACAAAATTGAGTATTGAACTCAGCGTTCATTAACACGTTGACGACCTTGTGTACCGCATGTATGCACGCCCTGACTCCCGTTCAAAATTTTCGCGCATCCGCGCATATGCACGCTAGTTTTTTAGGTGCAAACAAAAAATTTTAAGGTAACTTCTATGCAGTAATACTATTAGTGGCCTGATTGTCTTACAGAACACAGGGCATCGTGTCAGCTGTTCAGAAGTTTTGGCCACAAAATTGGGTAACCAGTCCGTTTTTGATGTAGTCAATACATGCTAATTACGGTTTCTCGAGAAGGTGAAAACTCTGTATAGCTGTTTTAAAATCAAACAAAGATGAATCAGGCAAAAAACACCTGGTTTTACAACGCTTTTCTCGAAGAGCGATTCCTCAGATATAGCCATTGCAGGGTTCATTGGAGGGAAAATCGATGCGAAAACTTTGATTTGTGTAAGTCCTGGTAAGGCTCTGTGATATGCCTGTATGTCTGAACAAAGTTCGCATGTTTTATTAATAAGTGACAAAAAGACTCCCACATAATGTTTTCGTGATCCGCGCGTATGCACGGGCCAAATGCGTGAAGGACGTTAGTGGAAGTTTCGCTCAAAATGGCGCGGTCGTCAACGTGTTAAAACACTGTTGCACAAGTTTGAAATTTTTTTCATAATTAATCATCAGCTAATAAATCAGCTTTTTCACAATGACTCCATATGCCGGAGGTGCCGATACTTCTACGGGTAACAAAAAGGATCGGTAATTTGTTTTTCATGCTATAAACATGAGTTGAAACCAGCTTTTAATGAACATTAAGTACCATTATGTAGTGCTGCTTTCAACTTACAAGGAAAGGATACTTGGTGTTTGTAATGATGTGCATATCACTAGATGCGTCTCCAAGCGCTGATCTTAAACTGTTCGATATCTACTATTCGGTCTGAAATAAGTTACGGACGTTTTTTTTCCATGAAATTTTGCACTGTCTGCTTTCAGGGCCCGGCACGAGGTGGGCAAATGGGGTTTTTCAAAACGAATTCCCCTTTGATCCCAAAATTTTTTACGAATATCCCCTTGAGCCCAAAAACGATGTTTTATGCTTGTGCAACGCAGGCACAGGCCAAACGTTGCTTAAAGCGCCCAAAAGCGCTTGAATTATTCTATTCTCTCTTCACCTTCCTCACTTCACACGTCCACGCTAGCCTAAAGGCCAGCACGTTAACATGCAGGCGGAAATTATGTTGAGAGAGATGAGAAATATGAAGAGAGATCAAAAAAGTATGGGCGCTTTCGAGCGCTTTTGGGCGAAGCCTGCGGTGCTGAATACTTTACCAAAAAATAAACTATCCACTGACATTTAGAAAGAAAACAAAACATCAAAATGACGTTAAAATAGCTGTCCTACAAGATAATACAAGGAAAAACATGAGAAACTGGTTATAGGACTGAGTGGCGCCGTTCCCGCGCATATCGATCGATTGGGGCGCGCTTTCCTCAGTAAGAAAGGGTGCCGTATTTTGACTATAGTAAAGAGGAGAGGGGGAGTTTTGAAAAAAATGCTACCATAGAGTAAAGTTTAGGTGTAGAAGAGATTTGTGTAACAATTTTTGAAAAATTATGTGAGACGGAAGTTTTGCCCACCTCAGGTGAGCATAAGGTGGGCAATTGCCCACCTAATTTGGACAAAAGTTGAGCACGCTCTTCATTCACATAAATTTTTCATAATTTTTCATGCATTGTTCCTTAGTCCTACTGCGCGTATACACACCAAGTCTCGCGCGATTTCGTTTCCTCTGCACTGCAAAAGAGTCATTTTTTCCATTTTCTTGATAGTGGGAAATTTTCAGAAAAAAGCTTGCCACAACCTTCAGTCACATAATTTTTGAATGAAACTTCTAAGTTAAACCCTGCAGGCGCGTGTTCATGTACTTACCAAGTTTCATACCGTGTAGTCACCTATGCGCTGCTTACGAGCCATCTGAATTTACATCTTCGTTTACCAGTTTTGCAAATTTTTTGGAAAAAAATGCTTACTACACCTCCCATTCACATAATTTTTTCATACTATTTCATACTTTGTTTCTCCTAGCCTCTTTTCGTTTGCTTACATAATTTGGTGCTATATCGTTACGCCTGCATTGAGAACTGATCATGTAATCATGCTGTTCAGCGGCATCGCTTATGCGACGTCGCGCACGCGGCAGTTGGCGGCGGCGCGGCGTAGCGCGCGAACTCTGCTATGCGTTGAGGCTTATGGAAACTACTTCTCAATGAATTAGATGTATAAGGTAATAAGCATGTTTCGACCTTCTCTTGCTTGCACTTGGAATCTTCTTCCGGGTCTCCGCCCCGGACCCCGCAAAAACGATTTCGCTCTTGCTTTTTTCATCAAAAACGATTTCCAGCTTGTCATTTGCCCACCTCGTGCCGGGCCCTGTCTGCTTTTGATTGAAACGATGAACATTCTTGAAATTTCCTGTTCCGCTGGGAACAGCATGTGAAGAAGTGCGCAATCACTCTAAGCTTGAGTAATGGGCCAGGTATACTTCACGCGATTTTGGTCGCTACGCGCTTTGGCAATATTCCAACTGTCCATAACTCACTGTAAGCACATTCTAAATGTACAGAAGATAGGGCATTTTATCAATCCAGGTAAGTTATACACAGAATTGCTAATGTTGAATCTGAAGACTTTTGGCGGATTGCCAAATCGCGTCGCGACTGAAATCGTGTGAAGTATGTCCGGCCCTTAACCTTTCTCAGTTGCTTTCCTTTGAAACCCAGATATCAATGATTCACTATGCTTTAGTGAACAAAAATAAACTCAATACTCGTTTTAGACAACTTAGCAGATAGCAAAAGCAGACATTCAGTGTTTCAAGGCCCATACAATGATATGTGTCCCATTGCAAACGGCCACGAACACCAAGTATCCTTCCCTTATTGAACTTACATTATGCAGCGAATCATTCATCATCTTTGCCACTGATTACGGTAGAAGAAGAAATAGAGTAGAAGAAGAGGGTTTTGCGCATTTGGAAACAAATTTCCCTGAGAAAGAAACCCAATAAGTTTGAAATCCTTCTATTAGAATTATTGTACTTGCCATTTTTTAGTGTCTCTAAAAACATGACTATACCACTAAAAAGTAAACTTCTGAAAGGGCGTGGGAACAGCGTTCTTAAAACCCTTGCTACAAAACTTTCTAGATCTTTTTGTAAGATTGGTTGTGAAAGGCTTATTTTGTTACGGCGCTGAATGGTTCCTATCGTAATCCTACATTAACGAAAAATAGATGAGTGATCCGCATTATACCGTAAACCTGAGTTGAAGCTAACTCTGCTAATTCTGGATCCAAAGTTTGGCAGAAGCTGGAAGGGAAATGTTAACGACATAATGTGTACATACTTTTGGGACACCCTCTACATATAACAACGGATGTACACGGCTTCGCTCGGCCTTTGGATACGATGTGTCGCAATTTTCGTAGCACTTCTAAACAACATCTTGGCCCTTGTAACTTCCTTATGCGCCAGTCCCCTATTCCTCTCGTACCTTCAGCATTCTCAGCCACCTCTTCCCTCTCTAACGTACTCAACCTCCGCCGCCCCTGCCCTCTGAGATGCAAGAAAAAATGCATTAATCCACACAAATAATTGGCATTTTCGTAACATGTCCACTTACCACCCCGTATCATCTTCCAACACCCCACTATATCGATATAGGATGATCTTTCTCATTCCAAGTGAAGTGAGAAAGATGCTTGACATAGATCTGCTGTATACAAAAGCATTACAATATCCTTCAAATGACTGCCCGGCAAATTTTACGATTTTCACTACCTACGTCTTTCTAGCTGCTCTGATGTCAAAAATCATCCAAAATCTTACGGGAACAAAATGATGAGAAAAAGGACTTTGCATACCTTCTTTCCTTATCGCACTCCTTTTCCTTTGGTGTTATGTAGTTCCTACTTTGGCACTTTGCAGAACAGAATTTCGTGTGGTTGAAAAAGTCGAATGAATGCATTTCCATAAGAGACCTTAAAAGTTTACACTTCAAAGGTGACCTTCAATATAAAGGTGCAAAACAAAAATAGAAAAGTTTTGAAGTTGTCGAGATTATGTATTTGGGCATTTGTATACGAGCTGGATTCTGTAAAACTCACGAGCCCTTGCGAGCTTTTGACGCAGTGCAGCACTGAAAGATTGCTTAGATGCTCAGACAAAGATGTGGCCGAGCGGCCCGCGAACTGAGCTGTTCCTCCAAGCGGGCACATACACCGGACGAATGCCGGGCTTGCCGGACCGGCGGAGCGCGAGCGGGCACGCATGAGAGATGTCGTATATGTCCGGACGTGCGGCCGCTCGTGCGTTCAAAAAGAATATTTTAATTCTGGGCGGCCGCAAGACAACCAAGGGTCCCGGAGCGAATGCGACAAGCGCGAGTTGGGTGTTCGGATTGCAAGACCTTTTTCTTATCTTGAATTGAGTATTTTTTTTCAATTTCCTTCGTATCGCTACCCTTTTTTGAATCTCTTCTCTTCATGTTCAAATGCTTGGATGTTTCTATAATACAGGGTGTCCCAAAAGTAAGTACCCTATTTTCAGGTGTATAAGCCGCACTTTTTTAAAGTTTCGCCCGGGCTGCTCAGCTGCTTCACTGTGTTTCGAGAAACGATCCTTATGCCGCACGATTCTTTCAGCACGGTATAGGGTTCTTTGGATGCGAGTTCCATTGATGTGTTCGGGCTGATCGATGTAAGCTAGGACCACCCCGCGGCTTATACACCTGAAAATAGGGTACACACTTTTCAATCGTCAATATCTCTCTTCCCAATGGGTCTTTTCTTGCCATTTAAGCACCATTCTGTAGAGAATGCTTCAACTTAGATTTACAGTATCGATCAAATCAGCTATCGCTCTTCTTTACTGTAAGATTACGGTAAGAACTTCCAGCATGTGGAGCCACTGTGAAATATGCCATCTGGCAAAATTTTTTTCAAAAAATCTGAAAAATCGTCTACTAGGGTTATCGCTTATGCTGGTTCCACTACACAACTTTTTACCAGTGTTACCATCTTTTTTGACGGTCTAATCACATTTTTGACAAATACTCGGAATTCGATTATCACGGTCTACTTGGAATAGCTTTGGAAAAAAGCATCAAAGTAACGTGGAAATTTCATATTCGAAATCAGCGGCTTCCATTACCGCAGTATAAAAGTTTTTGGCTTGTTCAGTTTTGTTCCGAGGCAGAAGATGGCTTCCAATGGCCTAAAATCCTTGTCGAACTTCCTATAGTAATCCTACAGTAATGAAGAGCGATCGCTGATTCGATCGGTACTGTAAATCTAAGTTGAAGCCTCCTCTACAGCATGGTACTCGAATGGCGGAAAGAGACTCAATGGGAAGAGAGGTATTAACAATTGCAAAGTCTGTAATTACTTTTGGGACACCCTGTATATATATTAGGTTGTACCGAAAGTTCTTTCGCACCATTTTCAAAAAATTCATAACTTCTGATTTTTCCAACCGATTTGACTGCCTTTATTTTTGTATGAAAGAGTAAGTCATGCTCTTTATAGTGACTTCTTAGCTTTCTGTTCAACCTTCGTTAGCGTGTGGTACATTTTCGTAAAAAGTAGGTATATTCGAGTAACAGTGCTGCTTATTTTCAGGTCATCACAATTACTACCCTTGGATTACTCAACTTATTCTTTATAGGTCATAACGTGCTTGAGAGGCAGCGATCTTTTGGGTCCATCATTCCAAAGGCAAGTCTTATTGTCAGTGTTTTTTCATAACAATACCCAGAAAGGCATAATTGCGGATTTTGCTAGAGTTTCGCTTAGAAGGGTTACTTGGAAAGCTGGTCACGAATACCATAATGACTTTGCTTGAAGCGTCATTGAGTTTAGGGTGGTTACACGGACCACAACCCCAAATTTTCTTCAAACTTTGTCTGTGGGGTTTTTAGTATGCAAATTACGCTTATAATAGCGGTTACTTTCGAAATAAAAATTTCTGCTGAGTCATTGAGTATCCCATGTCATTCGCACTAGTAATAGAATATGTCTCAACAATTTTTTGTAGTTATAGGCGCTAGAAATTCGTAAAATTGTGATGACAAATTGCGGACTTTGTCCCCCCCCCCCCCCTCCCCAAACTTCACAAGAAGGTCTGATATCAAAGAAAAGGAGCACTTTGCTCATTTAAGCCACTTCAAATGTAATCGACTGCAAGAAATCGCCCGGGCTACTGTAGGCTGAACGCACGCAACCCGCCTGCAACGCGACTGCCAAGTAGCTATGGTGACTCATGCACGCGAATGCCAACGTCAGCCGGCATGGGACGCGCTGCGGGCGCTCAACCCGGTCAATTCCGTGCAGCCAACTATATCTATCACCTGTTATGCAAAAAGTAGGACTTGAGTAGAGAACAAGGCAAGAAAAGCGATTGCCAAACCTGGGTACTCCACGCGCGTGACTACCGCAATGTCACGATTTCGCGAATGTTCTATACCCAGCACATACGCCTGGTTTAGAGCGCTTAAAGGCAGCGGACAGGCAAAATGGACCCCTGTCAGATTTTGGTAGTTTCGGGTAGTGGACCCCCCAAGTACACCGTAGCCCCAACCCCACATTCCAATTCATGCACTAAGTCCTGAAAAAAGCGCTTCAAAACTCCACCAGCCCCGCCCACTTGCATTGAGTGGGCGTTATTGGTGGAAGTTTGAAGCGCTTTTTTGAGGACTTAGCGCATCAATTGGAAGTTGGGGTTGGGGCTACGGTGTACTTGGGGGGTCCACTACCCGAAACTACCAAAATCTGACAGGGGTCCATTTTGCCTGTCCCCTGCCTTTAAGAAGACCTCTCATTTTGAAGAGTCTCTGTGCGTATGTTTCTTCAATTTGCAAAGTCAGTAATCTAGCAGACACGCCTCGATGATTACGGCTATTAATTATTCAGGGTTTTAGGGTTTACCGCTTACAGCCCTAAAGCTGCGTGAAACACTCTCAATTTTAGTGTGATGTTAAAAGTAAGAAATTTAAGTAGTCGAAAGTTTTGCAAACATCCAGACATAAAAGACACTTCCGAGAACAAAATGGCCATGCTCACCAGGCATTAGACCTACAACCTAAAATCGAAATGAAGTTTAAAAACGAAGTTTACCCTAAATTCTGAAAAATTTTCAAGCGATAGTCTGGGAACGCGTTGCGTTTGCGTGTCGTTTCGCGTGTTAATACCTATGAATTGGCCAAGACACGACACTAGAAACGATATTTCGTTCACGTTGTCATCAAAGGCGCATGAAGGGCTGGACCAAGCGTAGGGTACGCCTCATATCTTTATGCGCGTGTGCGTACATCGCTACACGCCGCGCAGTCTGGTTCAGCCCTAAGATTCGTTTGGAGAAATCTATTGGAATAATTACGTGCAGCAGACGAAAACTGGAATAGTAAGTTCATCTTTTACCAAATTGCCCTTGATCGGAACCACGATGACGCTAGACGATGCTCCCGCATCGTAGCGCAATCCCGAAGCGCGGCGTAGTGTCATTTTGAGGGAATACATATGGGTTGAGATCGAGGATACATTATTTCAAACTTATTCAAGCTTTCAAGTGTACCTCCATGACATTGCATACTATTCTTGGATTTTGAAGAGAAGTTCAGTTACAATGAACTGCGATTAGAGCGGATACTTCCAACAGAATAGTTTCTTATCCACTTTTTGCAGACGAATGCACCTATTTTGTCTGCCTTTTCTGAAGTAGACGTTGTAGTCGCTTTTCAAAATTGGTTGTGATCAGTATTTCTTGTAGCTCTGCGATGGGACCCCTCACGGACTTATCTTATCCATGATCACACCGTCATCAGGAGTGGGGACCTTTTACCGTCCAATCAACAATCAAATTCTACTTACCTAATCTCATCTACATCAGAAGCAGTATGCCAAGTGATAGGAATATGATGCGAAGGAGATGTATACTTCATGTTTGTAGTGTTCAGAATAAATAACTTGGATTTTGAATACAATGCCTCTTTATATCTGAGAGTGTGATAAAGGTCTTTGGTATCATTTCTTTTACGCATTCGAACCCAAAAAAAATATCGATATGGCCAGAACAACGAATATAACAAAATTCTTTGAAAAGGTGATTCCGCTCGGCCGATGATGGTGGACAGATCGCTCGCTTTGTGAGACCGGAGAGCATAGCAATGACACAGCAGAAACCGAACGGACCAGCAACAGTAAATGGCCACACACGGTGTTTGCGGACCGCTCGGCCGAAATTTTGTCTGAGTGGATGGCGGACTTTATGCACGATAGCGCGCTTAGGCAGGCATGTGTCAATAAGGTGCGCACCATTAGCCCCACCTATCGCTAAACGGACTAGTTTCCTGCAGTACAGCTTCAGCTTGATTAACGGTCATGTTCACTATTCTTTTGAAAGCAGCTCCTGCCAAAAAACAAAGCTTGTCCAAACTGAGAAAGAGCTTATCTATTTCAAAATCTTGTTTTTCTTTCTTGTTTTTTTTGCCACTCAATGAGCTACTGATGTGATGTGTTGATCGCAAAATTCAAAAGTTTTGCTGATTCAACTCATGAACGACCAAGGGCCTTCGCAGATATCCAGTTTTGGTATGTTGAATTCAATGCGAGATGCCTTAAGCATGTTTGACTGAGTGACCTCACATCTTTTGGGAAGTTCATATGCAATTTTGGTGAATCACCGATCGATCTGTGTTGAAAGTAGCAGTTTTTGAAAGGAAAACTCAAAAGAAATCAATGCAGAGAAAATTTCCAAAATTATAAGTAAAGTGGGGCTTACATTTTTGAAAGAAATGTTATGGTATGTACAGGCACTTAGATCAATAATCGCCGTCGCTTTTTTGAACTTTGGTAAAGACTGCTAAAAGTTATGACAAAATCAAATTTTGCCTTTGATTACGAGTCCAAAAAAAATTTTTTTCGATAAAGGAGAAAATCATGCGTCGAATGTTTCTGCAACAATAATAATTTCTATTCAACAACTT